AAAAAAAAAAAAAAAAAACAATTCAACACCTAACTGGGTCAACAAGACACAAAAACGAACGCACACGATCACGCACGCACACGCACACGACCACACTTTCACTTACACAAACCTGCGCCCACGTGGAGGAACATAAACGGGCGATACAACTCCAAACGCGCGAGCGCATGCGCACAACACAATCAGCCGTAAGACGAGGCAGCACAGCGACGGACACACAACAGGACTCACGCGCGCAAGCACACATAGCCGGTGCCGGTGACTTAAATGCCGCATGTACTGTGTCTTGCGTCGCAACAATTGTTCGCGCTTGGCAGACGAGGTGCACGCAGGAGGTACAGCGGATGGGGAAACTTGGAAGAGGCGGCTATGTCACCACGCGAAAGCATGCCGACATTGACACTCAGCACCACAAACGAACCCTAAACGAACACACACCATTACGCACGAAGGCGGTAACGCATTCTGCAGCACCGCTATCTGCCCGCCGCATTGCAACGATGGCCACGACACCGTCGGGTTCGGTGCAGAAGGCGGGCGCTCGAGCGCTGGGTATGACGGTGGAGGGAAAGAAGAGAGGAAGCGGGTTGAGGTTCCGTTTGGAGTTCGTGGCGATCCCAAACAGAGGTCGTTTCCGGCAAGCCGAACGGAAACCCTACACAGTGGACTGGACAACACGGCGTTCAGAATGTGTTTTTACATTCGTGTATATCTACAGGTCAGCCACAACGGTAATGACGGGGAATTTGTTTTTTTTTGCGAGGCCGCAAATTTTTTGTTCCTCATTTTTGTGGTTTTCGCCTTCGACCGTCATTTCCCGCCAAGGCTACGAAGTCCGATTGAGGTTAGGCAGCGCCCTGAACACTGAACCGGATTCACGTCGCGACGGCCGTCGATGGAATCCGGTGGCGGCGTCCGCCGTCTGCAGCATGGGCCTTGGTTTACTTGCCTGGGACTGTGGTACATCGGTGAGTTAGGGGCGGCTTCCTGCCGAAAAGCCCGCCCCTAACTCGCAGGGACTACGGGTTTTCTGTGGCGGGGGGACCGGTGGTTTAAGACAGGAAGGTGATGGTTATGGTGAAAGGTTGATAGAGCTGAGAGGTGGTCGTTTGGTTGACAAAGGACGATTGTGCGGTGGCTTGCTGCTCTGGTGAGGCGCACAAAGTGTTCACACACTGAGCCAGAAGGTAAAAGAGGGGTTCTGCGCAAAGTGAGAGGGGAAATCGGGTCTCTTCTTCCTGTTCACGGTAGGCTACGTAGCGAAAGGTGGGAGAGAGCAAATAGAAGGGAAAGTGCAGGTTGCGGTGGAGGGTCTAGCGTCGAACGGTCGATGCCACTGAACCAGTCTGGGTTTTTGGGTGAGATACGTACATTGTATTGGATGACGGTAAGGACAGAAGTTCCACAACGAGTTTCTGAGCAGGATGGAAGAACGGTGCTCTTCATTTAGCAAAGAGGCAAGGTTGTGGTCCGGTTTAAATAACGGTCGGGACGACTTGAGTAAAAGCTGGCTCGTTAACTTAGTTTAGAAAGCTATGGTCGTAGTCATTCTTGGGAAGAAACTTACTTTACTTAGCTTCTTCCTCCTGATTACCGTTCCCTGAAGGTTTGCGAACTCCTTTGTAGTTCGGTGATGCGTTGCAGGTACGGAGATCGGAGCGCCGCCGCAGTCAGGGTCGAAAAACAAAGACAAGGCAATGGTCCCTGTCTGGGCTGCTTCAAGCTAGAAATACCCGAGCGCCACCAGCCACGGGGCCTAAGCCACCGCGCCTCAGCCTTGTAGGCCCAAATCGCTTCGAGAATCCCTGCTATCTTGATCAGGCCAGATATAGGCCACCTCTATGCTAGGTTTGGTCCAGTTGTACTGCTGCCGAAAATGAGGCCTTACAGGCCTCGAAAATGCTAGTGGAAGTGACATTTGTCAAGGGTCATTTCTTGCGGTACCAGGGTGCCTCTCGGAGCCATCGACTGGGCCTGGTCCAGCGGCAGGCCTACAGATACCTGGGGGCTCTTGGTCGACTCCGTTGGCCTGGCTTCAACACCTCAATAAGGGCCAGATCCCATTAGCCCCTACGTTCATTTCTGACTGTTGATCTTCGTAATGGAGGGTCAAAAATAAATAATCCAGGGTAGTGGGATCTGACCCTAAGTGTCAGCATCATTACCACTGTCTTCCCGTCTCGTAAAACTCTGTCAGCCCATAGGGCGGAGATTACCGACGTGCGTCGTTACGGCAACCAATAAGGTCGTAGAGTCTATGCCTTCTATCCAAATACAGCTATAATGATCGTACGCTGTATTCGGGGAAAGAAGGTAGTGATGCGGCTCTCCCGCTGATCATGCAGATTGCCAAGAACCTGCCTGCCAATTAAACCACCAGTACCTCCGAGCCTGTTTTTGCCGACCCTGATTTATAGTGCGCGCCGAAATTTGCCGAGCCTGTGTCCCGCGGAACCTCGGAGTCTTTTTCTGTTGTTTCTATTTTTTGGAAACGGTAAAGTTTCCACTTGTGGCCTTGTCGTCCTCCCGTACGGTCTAACGAACGGACACGTCCATGGGCGGGATCCTTGTGGTTCGTGACATGTTTGGTGGCCGATTTTTTTTTTTTTTTTTCTCGGGGAGTGAAAATTTTGTGTTTTATTTTTTTTGCGGGCCCCGACCGTCGTGTCGCTTCGCCGGCGACTGGTAGCGTAAAGTGGTGGGGGGTGGACGTCGGCACGTTGGCCGATGGAGG